AGAGTTCTTTTTTTTTTTTTTGAGTTGGAGTCTCACTCTGTCACCCAGACTGGAGTACAGTGGCCACTCCCGGCCACCTCGACCTGCTGGGCTCCGGCGATCCTTCCGCCTCAGCCTTCCGAGTAGCCGGAATCACAGGCATGCGCTACCACACTTGGCTGATTTTTTTGATTTATTGTAGAGATGAGTTCTCGCTGCCCAGGCGGGTCTCAAACCTCCAGGCTCAGGCAATCCACTCACCTCAGCCTCCCAAAGGCGCGGGATTACAGACTGAGCCACCGAACCCGGCTGGAAAGAAGTTCTTATTTGCAAGATACTGTGGTTTTATTGTGAATGATTGTCTTTAGTCTGTTCTGTATGATATGCTAATTTGAGAAATATTTCTCTAGATTGCAGATGGACAGAGAGAGCTTATTGAGTCATACAGTGTCAAAAAGAGACACTTCATTGGGAATACAAGCATGGATGCTGGCTTATCATTCATCATGGCTAACCATGGAAAAGTGAAAGAAAATGATATTGTCTTTGATCCATTTGTTGGAACAGGTATTTTTATTTAACTGTTAAACCAATGTAGAAATAATTGCTTATTTATGTTAGTGAAGACTAGTAATATTTTTGCTAAAAGATTAAATAGAATGATCTTTTAATTATCTCTGGATGGTGTCTATGAGACAATCACATACTATAATAGCCAGTGTTTAAAGCACTTTTGCCACTTCAGAGAGGATGCTGATAGAATTTTGTAGGCTTTGTTCCGAGTAAAACATCTGGGGGAGCATCTGTCTCATTTTTTTATAGCATAAAATTTTGCAATACCACACACTGTAGAAATGTTGTAAAGCTACACAGTTTATTTAAATAGGAAAACTTGTTGGAAGGAAGACTTGAATGACAGGACCCAAAAGATGTGTTCATCCTTTTAAATTAATAACCATATATTTGGATGGAGAAAGATAGTTAATGTTTCCTAGGTTTGATTTGGTTTTTGGTGGTTTTTGAGTAAGTGAGAAATAGGAAAAGTGACAGAGTATCAGCGGCTAGCACCTGACCTTTGTGGTATGACCTGGTTCTGTGTGCACTTGATTGGGATGTCCCTGTAATTAACTTTGTATGGAAGTGTTAAAACTCCCAAGTTTACTTCCATCTGACTCTGTGCAGATTTTTTTCTTGCTTCAGCTCATTTTGCTTGTTCTTGCCAGTATCCAGGGAGTCTGCACATTTAGGCTTGTCTGCCTCACCCACTGTGGCTCCGTTAGTAGAGCCCTCTTTCCCTGTGAGCCGTGATGATGCAAAGCTATCCAACATTTGTTGGATAGTAAATGTGTCAGATACTATGGTAGGCGTGCTTATGTGAGTATCTAATTCAGTTCTTTCAACAACTAACATGGAGACACTTTTTTAAATTTTCTGGAAGAAATTTTGGCACAGAGAAAGGTTAAGTGACTTGGCCAAAGTTATTCCGTATGTAAGTTTCATAGCATCCTAATGCAAGCATGCTCTTACCTGCTGTCATAGGGCTGCCTCTCTCTGCATTAGGATCTGCCAGTCAGCTGTTATACTGTGCACTAACATAAGGAATATGACCACATACGATTAGGAAGAAGTGGTATCAAGGTTAAGAGGGTTTTTTTGTTTGTTTGTTTGTTTGTTTTCAGTTTTCTTTTTTTTTTTTGCTAGACTTGGTCATTGGGAAGTAAGTGTCAGGAGATTTCTAACTGACGGAATGATTTTCTGTGTTTGTTGCCGTTGAGTGAATTCACTCATGAGTCTTTTCTTATGCTTGTATTCTATCCCCAAAATACTATTCATTCTTTTCTTTCCTATCCTCATCATCCTAAGGGCCTTATCCCACATTTGAAACTTTTTACTGGAAATGACAATAAACTTATAGAAAAGTTACAATAACAAACATAGAACAAAGAGCACCTATGTATCCTTAACCCAGCTTAAGCTAGTAACATTTGGCCTCATTTGCTTTATGATTTCTTCTATTTATGTTTATATAGATACTGTTTATTTTTTTTGCATCATTTGAAAGTTGATTCCATTATGTCATTGCTCCTCAAATACTTATTTTGTTAAGAATAAGGACGTATTCTGTCTTATGTAACCGCAGTACAGCTTTCAATGCTAGTGAATGCAGTATTAACTCAACACTTTAATACTCACATTTTAATATTCCAGTTTTGTCAGTTAACCCAGTAATATCCTTGGTAGCGTCTTTTTCTCTTTCCTGTTTAGGATCAGGTACTGTCTTTCATTGTCTGCTTCTTTCATCTCTGGTTTGGAACATAGCCAAAGCCTTTCTTTTTCTTCTATGAAACTTGCACTTTTAAAGAATGCTGTCTCTCCTCCCTTTATTTTTTTAACTAGAATGTTCCTTACTTCAGGTTGTTTGATATTTTCTCATGACAGATTTGGGTATTCATTCCCAGCTGCTACATCTGTGCTTGTGTGTCTTTTCTCAGGGTATATGCATGATGGCTCTCTGTCCCTTGTGAGTAATGGTAATTTTAATCAGCCTGAGCTCAGGAGTTCAAGACTGTGGTGAGCCATGATCATGCTACTGCACTCTAGCCTGGGTAACAGAGTGAAACCCTGTCTCTAGAGAAAAAAAATGACCAATATCCAAGTATAGGAGATTGTTTGAATAAATGACATATACCCATGAAACAAAACTAAAAAAATAAAGACAATCTATTAATTGACTAGAAGTGATTTCAAAGATACACTTTAAGTGAAAAAAAGCAAAGTTAAAACCAATTTATATAGGTGGTATTTGATTTTTCTAGTATATGATATATATTTTTTTGTGGTTATTAAGCAATCTATGGGGAGACACATTAAGACCATGCAAATATTCTGTTCCTCGTCTAAATCTCCCCTCACCTCAGTCAGGTGGTCAGGTTTAGTATCCACTGATGATTCTTACCTGAACCCGTCTTTACTTCGATGGTTTCAAAGGGATGATTTTCCAAGTCCAGCACACCCTCCACTATTACCACTCAACGCTCATTATTCTGATGTAAGTAAGAGCTATTAGATTTGCCCTTTCCCCAAGTGGCCAGTAATTCATTATCTTCCTCAATTATTTTGCATCTCAAATTGTCCCAGATTTGTCCCCTTGAGAGCCCTTTGCATTGGATCTGTCTCTGTGACTTGCTCTTACCCGTTTTTTTTCTTTGAGTGCCTTCTTTCTAGCTCCTCTTCTATCTAAGTCCTAGTGTCCGCCATTTCTCTAAGGAACTCTTGTTTCTTTTAGTGAGGGGTGGCATGAGAGACAAAGGTCTGGGTTCTGGGCCCTGTCAGTGGACAAGCTAGAAAACATATGTGTTTATACACAATATACATATAAGTACAGACACAAATACACATGCATATATTCCTATACACTTTGTGTGTGCACATATACATATGTATGCATATTTTACAAATTGTGACTCAGTACGTACACTACAAACTCCAGTCTATCTTTACAGATTTTGCCTACTGTATTTGATATTTATATGCACCTTCTTCCACCAAAAGAACCCTGAGTCCTATCAACATCAACACATTTACCCTTTTGCTCATTCCTATAATATATCTAAAATACTGTCAAAATTGCTTTGCCCATGCTGCTTTAAAGGTCCTATTAAGAAGAGCTCAGGATGTGTTTTCAGTTTTCTACTCTTAAGAGGCAATAAAGTTAAATACTGAGCTTACTTCTTTTTCATTTAAAATTTAGGTGGGTTTGCCTTCAGCTTTAGGTTTTTATCCCCCATACACGTTTCTTTTTAATTTACTTTTATTTTCAAACATTTACAAGATTGACTTGCTTCCAAAGTCAGAAATATACAAGGAGTTGTGCTCAGAGAGGTGACGCTCATCCCTCATAGGTCGTCTGCTTCATTGTTTTCTAGTTGATTCTTCCTATGTTTCTTTTTCTAATGATAAGGAGATATCTGCACATTTTCTTAGTTCTACTTCGTTCACACATAAAAGGTAGCTTACCTATATAAACTGGTTTTAACTTTGCTTTTTTCACTTAAAAGTGTATCTTGGAGATCACTTCCTGTCAATTAATAGATTGTCTTATTTTTTTATAGTTTTCTTCCTTGGATATAGGTACTGTAACTTATTCAAGCAATCTCCTATACTTGGACATTGGTCATTTTTTTTTTTTCTCTAGAGACGGGGTTTTACTCTTTTTCCCAGGCTAGAGTGCAGTGGCACGACCATGGCTCAACAAGACCTTGAACTCCTGGGCTCAGGCAATCCTCCTGCCTCAGCCTGTCACGTAGATGAGACTATAGGCACACACCACTACCCCTGGTTCATTTTTCCATTTTTTTGTAGAGATGAAGTCTCACTTTGCTGCCCTGTCTGGTCACTGACTCCTGGCCTCAAGCGATCTTCTTGCCTTGGCCTCCCAAAGTGCTGGGATTACAGGTGTGAGCCACCACACCTGGCCTATTTCCATTATTTTATAGTTACAAATAATGCTTGCAATGCATGACTTTACTGTCACATACCTTTGTAATGTTGCATATATAGCTCTAGGGTAAATTGCCAGAACTAGGATTGCTGGGTTGAAGAGTGTATACATATGTAGTTTTGGTAAATATTGCCAAATTCCTCTACATTATACTGTCTTGGATTCCTGCCGGCGACACAGGAGAGTCCCTGTTTTCCCACAGTCTCACCAGCAGAGTATATTATCATGCTTTTGAAGTTTTGCCAATCTGTTGGGAGAAAAATGGTATCTCAGTATAGTATTCATTTGTATCTCTTATAATGAGTGAAATTTAACAATTTTAAAAATATTTTAAGGGCCATTCTTATTACTTTTCTTGAATTGTCTGGCATGTTTTCTCATTTTTCTAGAATTTTTGGTCTTTTTCTCTCAATTTTAAAGGTCCTCTCTAAGTTTGCATTAGCCCCTTCTCTCCCCCTGTTTTTTCTGTAATATATGTTGCAAATATTTTCTCCCAGTTTGTCATTGTCTTTTGACTTTGCTTGTGACTGCTTTTTGCCACGCAAAAATTTTCTCAACACCCAAGTTATAGAGGAATTCATTTAAATTTTCTTCTAGTATTTTTGTAGTTTTATTTTTTTCCTTTTATGTCTCTGGTTCATTTGGAGACTATTCTCTTGTATGATGTGAGGATTGGATCTAATTTATATTTGTCAAATGCTAAAGCCTTTATTAATCCTTAATCTTGTTCATGGACTTTCAAAACTTTTCCTGTAAAGTGAGAATTCTTTGAGATACTTATATGTACAAAATGATTCATATGCACACATACCCGTAGTCTAGACTATAGATTTTTAAAAAGTAGTTGCCAGTATAGGGAGGTAATATTTTTTGTTTTTGGTGTAGATGAGGCGTGGTATGGTATCAAACTCTAACCTCACAGCAGTCAACGCATTTACTCTCTTTAGTGTGCTGAGAGGCAAGGGGATCTACTTCTGTTTTTTTTAGGGCAGCTCCTCGTGGTGGATCACATGTTTTGATCATCTGACTGTTCATATAGGACAGTAACGACAAATGAGAGGGGGATCTTTGAAAGATGCTGCTAAACTATTTTTTTTCTAAGTTGTGTTTGTAGTTTAAACGTAGCTTTAGGATGCTACTCAGATTTGGTACTTCTGTTTTGAAACTGATGATAGCCAGTAACTGTGAACGGGCACAGGTCTTAAGCACAGTTTGTCTTCTCTCTTGGGCCTATTGCCTCGCTGATGGGTGGGCCCTTCTGAAGGACCGGAGAAATGCATAGCATTGGGCGCTTCCTGATGGCCATGGTTTTTCACCAAGTACTCCATACTGTTTTCTTTCAGTTTCCCTTCTTAGCATTGTTTTAAAATTCAAATATGTCTAATCCCTTTTCCATTTCAAAGGTACAAAATTGAAATGCGTGTCGTTTCCCAAATGCTTTACCCACTGCTTATGACTTGTGATTTTTCTCAAGGTTATGGAGTAGGATATTCTGGGTGACTGAAAGGAGAGATATAATCTGTTTCTGCTTAAATACCTTTCCTTTCTATTTTAGACAGTTTGTCACTGTTATTTATGAGATGCAAAAATCTTTCTTTTCTAGTTTAACAAATACCTTGATTTTTGTTTTAATAAGCTTTTTTGAAAAGTGGCATATCTCCACTTTCTCAAGGTGGAAGATACAGACCATTGATTGGGTCAACTCTTAGTAGTTAGAAAGCGCTATTATTCTCATATGAGTTTGGCTAAAGGAATGGTCAACACGAATTTTTGGAATACTTGTAATGCCACAGCGTTGGCTGTGATATGGTACAAGACTTATGAGTGATATACAGCTGTTATTAACTGAGTATGCAACTTTACATATTTAATTTAAGATAATTTACTTAGTAACAGATTTTGCTTTAATTATTGCTTTAATGTGTATTGACTTCAATTGATGGTAACCTCAAAGGAGGTAGAATGGTATAAAGAGAAGAGCAAATAAACCAAGGTTTAAATCTTTTCCAGTTACTCTGTGACCTTGGGCAAGATTCTTAAGTTGTCTGGGTCTCAGTTCCATCCTTTGTGAAATGGTAGTAGTAATGTCTTGTGAGGATTAAATGAGGTGATAGATAGATAGATAGATATGCATATGTATATGTTAGATACAGCTAATATTAAATGGAGATGATGAAGAATTTAACCGTGAATTCATTTTCTAGTCCCCTTTTTGGGCCATTTCCAAGATGTTCATGATTTGCAACTGTTGGCAAGTTTTAGCAGTGGGCAAGGAAATTTAAGATTAAATGGTAAATATTGAAATCTTTGTAATTAAAATAATTGGTGCAAGTGTATGCCGATTGCTTTAGATAGCACAGAGCTCTGCAGCCACGGCTCTGATGCCCTCTCTTCTCCCTCAGGGGAGTCAGCTAGTCTAGTAATGAGAAGACACCCAGGAGACTCATTGGCCTTGACTACCCTCAGATGGCCCATTGGTGGAAGGAAAGAAATGCAGTTCCCTGTGAAGCTTTGTCATTGCAAAATAGTCATTTTGTCATTGCAAAATAGGTGTTAGGAAGCTGACTCCTGGTTCTGGGAGGAGGCTACGGGACGGGAAACAAAAATTGGGAGGGAGAGACAGTGGATCTCTGTAGGTCTGGGGAATGGTCTCTGCGTCCCTATTTTTCCCACTATGTTCTTGAGTCTCATAATTTGTCTAGTAGAATTTCAGTTTTCTATCAGGATTCTTTTACTCAGCCTACTAGTTTAATTTATTTAAGTAGCATTCTTTTTTAAAAATGATAAAATAGGTGCAATAATATTGCCATTCTTCCTTCTTTTTCTCCTTTTCTCAGCAAAACCAAAGCCCAGTCTCTCATTCTGGTACATTTGCAAAGCTTTTCACTTAGCACTCTTAAGAGGAACATCACGAGTTAGTTTCTATATCATGGAATAAATTACGCTTCCTACTGTATCCTTTTGCCTGTAAGCTATTGCCCTAACCTTAAAGTGGTTACTACTTAAGTCATGAGACCTTTTACTCAGGTGCTAGTCTAGATGACATATACAGAGGGTTTACTTTTGGTAGGTAGCATACACAGAAATGGATGAGTCATGTTACCTGCCTCCTAGACACATCACCCTCCTTTTTTAGCACGACTTCTTCTTCCAGAAAGCTTCCAAGAAAACTCCAACTGAGGTATAAGTAAATGCAAAAAACTCTTCAATTTAATTGAAAAAACGGACGACTAACAGTGATTACCCAGTGATTGGCTTACAGAAGCTCATTTATTATGATTTTATTTTAACAATGAAAAACTTAGAAGGCACAAAGTTGACTATCAGATGCAGTCTAACAGATTATTCATCTCCTTTCAGCAATGTACTGTAAGTTGAGTCTTCTCAAAACTCACTCTAACCAAATGGATAAGGTTCTGTTTAAGGAAGCACAGGAAAGCTTTTCTGTTCCCCTTGACAACTAGTTCTTCTAGGTGAGTATCTGTCTTAATTGGCAGAATTGTAGTAATTCCTCGTAATTTGAGTGAAGTGACTTTGTGAGTATTCCAAGTCATCACACACACTGTCTTTTCTAAATATGGACTCTTCCATTTCCAGAGTAAGACTTAGGACTTTGTGACCTTCTCTCACATAAATGCTTTTCATTGTGTGAGAGGACCGAGGTTTTGGTTTCTGCTGTACTTTTTAGTCTTTCATTTTTCTTCTTCAAGGGTTAGTCAGTCACAATATTTTTATGAGCCAAGCGTTTGTAAGTACATGTCACCAGACTATATTTTAAATGGCTATGGAAGGCACACCATTAATTTATAGATCTTGGCCCTCTGGAGGCACTACCCATCTTAATTTTAGAGGTTGCATTTCAAGAGATATAAGGAAAAGAATCCCAGTTTTTTTTCTTGCCCAAAACTGTGCATACTTTGTAGTTTAAGACTCTATTTCTGATTTCAGTTTCGCTGGCAGGCTTTTCTACAGTGTAAGCACTAAATGCATTTTGATTTGGATGATTAAAAAAGTGGTTTAATAAAAAGAATAATTATTAAAAATGTATTTAACCTTGTAAATTTTTTAAACAATTAAAAATATTACCTTTTATTTTAAAAATTGTCATTATTATTTTGATCTTTATTAGGATTTTTCTTCATGTGTGAGCTGGTCATATCTGTCAGATTACTTGTTTAGTCAAATTGTTTTGGGACTTTTGTTCTTTCTTTGGTCTCAGCACTAATTAAACAGAAATAGTTGCATTAACTATTTTTGTATGTGTTTGATAATTGTTATTCAGAAATTTATATTTATAGTTTAAAGCAAGAGATAAATACTTGATTGGGTATAGGAATAACTATATATTAAAATAGTTAGGTTTCACAAAAGCTAAACATGTCTTAATATTTTACATTTTGTAAGAACTAATGTGTCACATATTAAATATGCCCTCTTTAGTTTGAAACTTTGACTTCAGTGGGAATGGAGACCAATTGTCAGAATTTATTTATTGCTAGCACTTTGTGTAAGCAGCCTTATATGCTTGTTTATTTATTTATTTAGAATTGGGTCTCACTGTGTTGCCCAGGCTGGAGTACAGTGATGTGATCACGGCTCACTGCAGCCTCAACCTCCTGAGCTCAAGCAATCCTTCTGCCTCAGCTTCCCTAGTAACTGAGAGTGCAGGCATATGCCATCATGCCCCGGGTTTTGGTTTTTTTTTTTTTTAGAGATGAGGTCTTGCTGTGTTGCCCAGGCTAGTTTTGAACACCTGGGCTAAAGCAATCCTCCTACCTCAGCCTCCCAAAAAGCTGGGATTGTAAGCGTGAGCCACTTTGCCAGGCCTGTATGCTCATTTTTAAGAAAGGAGCAAGATATTTTTGTGTAGACCTCTCAAAATATACGTTATTTTGACCAAATTTTCTCAGTAGTGCTGTTTTAAGTAATGATACCAGGGCATGCATTAATTCCCTACTTTGTGACCAATTCAGTGAATGCAGTTTAAGGATTTGTTTTTTTGTTTCTGAGACTGGCTAAATATGGCAGTACTGGCATCATTCCAGGGTGTTCTGCCTGGAGCTAGTTTGTAAGACTCTGGGTCAAGTTAAATAGGGGAAGGGAAAAAGTCTGGTACTTTCTGGTTAACTGGTCATAATTGTACAACTTCTCAGGTGGCCTCCTGATCGCATCTGCTCATTTTGGTGCATATGTATGTGGAACAGACATAGACTACAATACAGTCCATGGCTTGGGTGAGTAGAGGTATAGACCGTGTTACAGTCTTTGCTATTGTACCATATACACCTTTAAAATAATAAATGCAGTTGACCCTTGAACAACATGGGTTTGAACTATGCAGGTCTACTTATACTCAGATTTTTCTTCCATTGGAAGTGGTAGAGCTCCTGAAAGGGCAAGACCAATTCTCTTCCCTCCTCCTCTTCCTCAGCCTACTCAGCATGAAGATGGCGACAGTGAAGACCTTTGTGATGGTCCACTTTCACTTAAAGAATAGTAAATATATTCTTACTCAATATAGTGAGTCTACAGTAGGATGTTAGTAGCTAAGTTTTTGGACAGTCAAAAGTTATGTGTGGATTTTTGATTGTGCAGAGAGTCAGTGTCCCTGATCCCTGCATTATTCAATGGTCAGTAGTTTTATATGACCATTTTAATGTTAAATACAAAGCTGTGATACAATTTTAATTATTTTTGTAAGACTTCATTGGATATTTACTTTCAGTGAGGCAGTCCAGTGTGTACAAGGTGATTTACTGGGAAAACACAAAAATGAATAAGAAAATGCCTTCTGCTCAGAGATGTTGTAGACTTAGGGAGATTTTTTTTTAAAGTAGGCAAACTGACCCGCCTGGGCAACTTGGCGAGACCTCATCTCTACAGTAAATCAAAAAATTAGCAGGGTGTGGTAGTGCCCCCCTGTAGTTCCAGCTACTCGGAAGGCTGAGGCAGAAGAATCGCCGGAGCCCAACAGGTCGAGGCTGCAGTGGCCGGGAGCGGCCACTGCACTCCAGTCTGGGCGACAGAGTGAGACTCCAACTCAAAAAATTATATAAAAAATAAAAAAATAAAAGTAGGCAAACTTATAAGATTGTGTGAATTTTAGGTTGGGAGAGAAGTAGGAGAGAGGGATGGTTATTTTATCAGCATGTGCATGTTAATAAAATATATATTGTTTATATTTAAAGATTATCACCATTTATTCAGTAGTCACACATTAAGTATATACTGGATTAATAACTAGTCTTGGAGGCACCATTTATGTTTTTAATTTCATGCTTAACTGAAGCATCTTTGAAACACTTATGGTAACAGTAACTTTAAAGGTTCTGTCTTAGTCTGAGGGTTTTTGAGACCAAGCATCTGCTTTGTCTTTGAGGTGATTTTGGAAAATATTTTAAATTCAAGGAACTTCAATCATGATTTGTGATTGGATAGAATTGAGTCAAACTGAAAAAAGAACAAAATCATGAATTTTGCAGCAACCTGGATGGAACTAGAGTCTATAATACTGAGTGACCTCTCACAGAAACAAAGATCCGAGTATCCCATGTTCTCACTCAAATAATGGACATTGAACATCCAATGTAATACTATAAGAAAATGACTGACGGTACTGGGAAACTTTGGGGGTGCAGATGGGATTAACAGTAGCAAATATCTGTCTGGGGATGGGGAAACACCTCTTATCAACAGGGTGCCTGAATGAAACGTAATTGTATACCTAACCCTTAACTGTACCCCACAACATTATAATAAAAAATATTGATAAAAAAAAGTTTTTTATATAGCTTAATGGTATTAAAAATGGAAGCTTTATTGATGACTTGAGATTGTTTATGTTTATGTTGGTATTTCATTATAGTAACTTGAATCAGCCCTTAAAGCACTCTTTTCCTCTTCCTCCTCCAGTGTAAGTTATTGTCGATGTGAGAATTTATTAGACTTCATTTTCTTTTGCTGAAGCAATTTGATATATTGTACTGATGTCCTTTCTCCTACCTCAACAATAAGACATTTAGTAATACTTATTAGGAAGAAGATGAGTTATATCTGATCAGGTTTATATAAACGGGTTAACCAGAAAATAATATTCCCTATCTGTGACATGTTTGAGTAGACAAAGTGCTAATAATTACTCTAGTTTGCTTTTAGTAGAAGCAGTCTATTTTCTTTAAGAAAATTGTCCTATATAATTTTCTTGGATTTTTATTTATCAAAGTTGTGTTTAAAACGTTATATCGTAGCCTTCAATCTGCTGGGGCAGAATTCTGATGGAGGTAGAGTTTCCTCAGCACTCATCTGGAATGCTGTCAGGAATGCCCACTGTTTCTGTGCTTCTGCTCTTTTTTCTTCTAAAAGGCTCTCAAGTGTCTCCCATTTTAAAAATACAAAACTTTTTCTGTCACTCCTGTGTGGACACTCTAGCTCGCACTTTGTCTTCCTCTTCCTTTTGCCAAAATGCTTCCTGAAAAACTAGTGCTAGCTTGCTATCTCCTCTTCTATCGCTCTGTCTTCTGCCCATGATTTTTCGGCTTCCGTGCCTGTCATTTCGCCTAAAGCGTTTACTGAGGCGCTCAGCAGTGTTGACCTTCATGAAACCTCCCTTGGTTTTCCTGACGGTGGTCTCATCGGGTGCTGCTTTTGTTTCTTTGACTGTTTCATCTTACTCTACTTAAGGCCCTTCCTTTAATCTCTGTTTATATATTGCTTTTCTCCAGGCATCTATTTTTCTTTAACTCCTTTTCCTGTCACACTGCGTGTTGTTCAGCTTCATGTCATTCTTCTTTTGATTTTTAGGTTTTATTCATTTTATTGAGAAATAGATAATAATATTCTTCTTATATATTTATACGAGTGTATAAATATATAAGAAGAATTAAAGAGCAAACACTTGTGTAACTACCGTCTATGTTAACGAAAAATGTCATTCATTCTTATGGATTCAACTTAAGTTTATGTACTGGGATCTCTCAAGTGTTTGTTTTCCAGCCTTCTACTACCAGCTAGATGTCTCTTTCTGAATATTCTGCAGGTACCTCAAGGTATAGCAAGATCAATATGTCTCAAGTGAATCTCATCTTCTTTACTAAGCTTGTTTTTCTTCCTGGTTTCTGTGATTTTAGTAACTATATCCTCATCCTAAACGATCATGTCTCCTAAACTAGAAACTTTTGAACTTCTTCAGCCTTCCTTCCACTCCCACTGGAACTTTTCATTGGGAATGGCTTCATTCCGCCTCCTTTTTTTATGATTACATCTGCTCCATTTCTCAAGTTAACGCTCCTCATTTGTTTCATTTATCTGATTCATCACTGTCTTTACATGGGACTGTTTACTACTGAAAGAAAGAGACTCTAATCAATTCTGTATCTTTCTACTAAATGCTTTGTACTGAGGAAGTATCGAATGAGTGTTTTAAGGCAGTTTTACTTGAAAGATGACAGAATAGAACCAATGAGACATCAGTATTTTTACTGTTGAAATATGTTTTTATGCTAGGTAGAAATAAAAATAGGCTGGGCACGGTGGCTCACGCCTGTAATCCTAGCACTTTGGGAGGTGGAGGCGAGAGGATTGCCTGAACCCACAGGTTTGAGATCAGCCTGGGCAACATGGTGAGACCTCGTCTCTACAATAAATCAAAAACAATAATAATAATAATAGTGTACTTGTATACATAAAATTATGATTTTAAAGAAAAGCAAACTTTATTTGAGTAAATGTATTTTTACATGAGTCAAATAATGGGACATAAGGATGCTCTGTTTCATATAATGCTTTCTGTCTTCTTTCCCCCCCTTCAGGAAAAGCTAGTAGGAAAAACCAGAAATGGAGAGGACCAGATGAAAATATTAGGGCAAATCTTCGTCAGTATGGTTTAGAGAAGTATTATCTTGACGTCCTGGTTTCAGATGCGTCTAAACCTTCTTGGAGGAAGGGCGCATATTTTGATGCAATCATCACTGATCGTAAGTTTATTTTTATACAAAAGTAGAAGTGGGATTGGTTTCCTAAAGTCATTTACATTTAAAACACAACATTTATCAACACATGCAGAAAAGACCAACGTGTATTAGTGCTCCTCTTACCTCCCAGCTTCACATAGTGAGAAGGAGAAAATTATGAACGTAGAGCAGGTTACCAATTTAACTAAGTCGTAAGGGTTGCCTGTTTTGTTTTTAAACAAATATATTGACTTTTATTTTTTGGGGGGTATCTTTATATATTAACTTGTCGCCTATTTTTTCCTTCAGTTTATTTTTTAAGGCATAATTTTTTTTACATTGGCTGTAATTGGTTATTAGTATGCCAACTGGAGCTCAAATGTTACTTATAATTATGGTACCAAATTTTGGAGGACAGTTTCAGATATCACATACTTCTCCCAGTGTAAGCATTTGTGCTTTTATAGTTCCTGTTTTCACTGACTTCTCCTTTCTAGAGTTGTACGAATCACTTGGGGTTCTGTCAAACACTAGGCTTGTGAACCTGTTCAGCTTCAGGAATGTGCGTGAGAACTCATTTTCTCATGCCTCATAGGTTTGAACTTTCCAGGCAGCCTATCTAAGAATAGATTTACCTCTTCTATAGTATTTACCAGTAGGTCTGTAAATAGTGGCAGCGCTGAGCCCTTCCATCTCAACCCTCTAGTTCTTTGGTAACTTAGAAGGTTTCAAGTGTAACAAAAAAATTATCAAGGCATTATGGTGTCCATGTGAATATACTTTATGAAAATTGGCTGCTTTTTAAAAATTAACAGCTTACTCTATTTTTATAAAATGCCTGATTTTCTTTTTTTTTTTTGATTTGGAGTCTCACTCATCACCCAGGTTGGATTGCAGTGGACACTCATGGCCACCCCAGCGTCATCTTGCTGGGCTCCAGCGATTCTTCCGCCTCAGCCTTCCAAGTACCATGCCCAGCTAATTTTTTTGATTTATTGTAGAGAAGGTCACACCAAGTTGCCCGGGCTGGTCTTGAACCCGCGAGCTCAGGCAATCCACTCGCCTCGGTCTTCCAAAGTGCTGGGATTACAGGCTGAGCCACCAGGCCCAGCCAAAATACATACTTTTAAATCAACTTCTACCCCTGCACTTCAGTGTATATTTCCTAAGGATAGAGGTCGTCTCTTAGCCAAAGTATAGTTATCAATTTCAGTAAATTGTTACGATACTTTAATATACAGTTTGTCATTTGTTTTTATCAGTTGACTCTGTATTATCTCTTATGGTATATATTTTCCCTCTTGTGCAGGTTCTATTCTAGAGTCAGGTATTAGGGATGATATCTGTTAAACTTCCTTTAATTTGTAACACTTGCACAGCCTTTCTCAATGTCTTTTATGATGTTGACTTTTTTTAAGAGGACAGTTGCTCCTTTCCCAACTCCTTATGTAGTACATGGGTGGTGTTTTGTCCTCTCAGGGTGTCACATTTAATGACACACTATCTGCCCCTCATCGGTGATTTGGTGACTTTTGACTATCTGTTTTACCTGTATTTCTGTCTAGCTCCATATGGTATCAGAGAATCTACAAGAAGAACGGGTTCACAGAAGGAAATGCCAAAGGGGATAGAAAAATGGTAAGTGAAATTTAAATATGGTATGCTACTACATTGAGAAGAAGCATGTTGCTTCTGTAGTTAACTTAAGCAGTCTTAAAATTTGTCACTGATTTTGACATTTTGTTTTCTTTGTGTAGTCCAGAGAGCCACGTTCCTGTTTCCTTGAATTATCATCTGAGTGATATGTTTTTTGACCTGTTAAATTTTGCAGCCGAGACCCTCGTATTAGGTGGAAGACTAGTCTATTGGTTACCAGTGTATACACCAGAGTATGTAACTTAATTTTGTTTCTAATTTCATTTTTCTTACAAATTTGTGTATCTAGTATAACTTTTTTGTATCTCTAATTTCATTTGGGGTTTCTTTGTATTTAATTTGTGATATCCTTTGTTTTCCTTTAAACATACATAAAATAGTGTCCTTTTCTTACTGCTTGAATTGTTTTGACCTTTTCATTTTATATCGGGAGTTGGCAAACCAGTCTGGGCTGAATATGGTCCTCAGCTTGTTTTTGTAAAGTTCTTGAATTGACTGCTTTTTACGTTTTAAAAATGTGATTTAAACACACACACACACACACACACACACACACACACACACAATAATTTGTGATGACAGAAACACACAGTATGTGGCCATAAAATATTTACTCTGGCCCTTAACAGGAAGTTTGCCAACTCCTATTATATTGTCACACTTAGCTCAATGCCTGTTTATCATAGCTCTCCAATAGCTGTTTTGCCAGTCTGTAAAATAGGTAATTTTTAACAACTCAGTTGAGTGATTCATGTATCTACTGCTTTCCAATGCTAGCTTTAATATATTGACTAAATTATAATCATCTTAAGTGTAATAGGTCTTTTTTAAAAGCTAAGACCAAAATAAAAGCTATACATATATTTAAAGTCCTGATGATGTTCATTGGTATTGGCTGGGTTTTATTATTCCATATAAACAGATCTATGTATATCAACAGTGAAAGACAAGATGTTTGAACAAGATAGGATCTTTAGATTTAAAAGATACTATCAAGCTCAAAATTTGGTTATTTCTTCAATCTGCCTTAGACATCTTTTTTAATAAAATTATTTTAGTCTGTATATTTACTATACATAAATGTACACAAAGCAAAAATTTTAGGACAGTTCTGTGCTGTTTTTTGTTGTTTGTTTTACAAATGTTGCATTGGAAGTTACCATGGCCTAACTTGAGTTATGCATTTGGTTATCAGCTGACAAGGCAGTACACATTCATGTTCAGATCTCTTAACGCTGGTTTATGTTTTATTGCCATTGATAATCTCATTTAACCTCTTCATTTTAGAAGTGAGAAAAATTAATTCCAAGGAGTGAAATGACCTATCTAAAATTAAAAGTTAGGTAGCTAATTGGTTTCCTTATGCACAGTGCTGTGTTCACTTATTTCGACATCCTGCTCGATCTCAAATACTTAGTATGTGAAACGATAGGTGGGGTTTTATTAATATTTTCAGAGAAGAGCATATTTGTTTATTTCTATGCAAAAATGGTTCCTGCCTTAGAAAAACTGAATTCCAACAGCAAGCTACTTTTTGTTTTAATTAAAGTTGCAGGGATAAAATTTTAAAACATTTATTCTGAAATAATTTTAAAATTACCGAAAAGTTTCAAATACGGTACAAAATGCTCCCTTCTATGCTGTTATTCAGATTTTCCAGTTATTATCATACATCTTTTCCTAACTTCCACTCCTACATATAATCATCAATTTTTTTGAAATTATTTGAGAAGTGCAGGTATGATGTCCTTATATACTCCATTGTATTTCTCAGAAACAACATTTCTGTCAATAACCCAGGCATGGTAGTGCACCCCTGTAGTTCCAACTACTTGGAAGGATCGCCTGAGCCCAGCAAGTCGAGACTGCACTGGCTGTGAGTATGTCACTGCACTCCAGCCTGGGCGACCGACAGAGCGAGTCTCTAACTCAAAAAAAAAAAAAACAACAGCATAAACCACCATCAATCCTCCAAGTCTGGAAATCAGCATTGATAACAACATTACCGCTGGATCATGGACCTCATTCAAATTTTACCAATTACAATCTACCCAGGAAAATGTTTTTTTTTTTTGCACTAATCTATTTTGTCTTTTTTGGTCTTCTTCAATCTGGAATATTTCCTCAGTTGTTTTTTATCTTTCGTGTCTTAGACATAGCTTATAATCTTAGGGTTAACACACAACCAGGGTCCATCTGATGTTTTCTCTATCAGCAGACTGAGGTCATGCTTTCTTGGCCAGAATACCACAAACATCACGGGACACACAAAGTCACCCTTTCTGGTGACGTTAACCTTGATCATCTGGTTATGTTGTTCTTTGTCAGACTACTCTACTCTGAATCATCATTTTCCTCTTTGATTTATATTTTATGATTAAATATCCCAAGATTACACCAAAATCTTGTTTTTCACGTTGATGTCTCCATTGTTGACAACCACTGCCACAGTCGTTGCCAAATGATGACTTTTTAATTCCATCATTTATTCTGCATTTTTAATTAGGCATTCTATAAGGAAGAGCTTATAAATGTAGTAAATGTAGGTTTTTACTTCTACTATTAAATTAATTTACTCAGTCAAATCCTGTTGGATGATTCAAGTTTAAAAATAAAAATAAGAATCATACATTATAACCAACTTCAGATGTTATTTAAACCCAGAACCTACTGAAAAGTATAAGCCTTCATAAAAACAAAATACTGCCTAAAAGCTTAGTTATATGTGGAAAATTGTCAGAGCTGAAGACTGAAGAATCATTTTCTCCCTCAGCGTTTGAATTGCAGTGAAGAAACTGCTACTCACAGACTCCTTCTGGTTTTCCTCTAGTCTAGACTCTCCCCACTCCAGGCTGTCGGATTTTTTGGCAGCATCCAGATACTCGGGTCACTTGATATCTTTTCACCTCTGGCTGTTCTGTCCCCAGTACTTAAGATGCCCTTTCTTCTTTCTTCAGCTGGTAACATTCTAGTCATCTATCAAGGCTTGGCTTAACTGTCACCACTTCTGTGACATTTCCCCAGACCCTTCTCAGCAGAATTAACCAATCCTTCTTTGTGTGCTCTCATAGTAGTTTGTTATTACCGCTCATAGAGACATATCACACACAATTACTGTGGACTCTTGGTATTTGTGAATCTATTGTTCTCAGTTGAGGTGTCTTGCAACTGACCCTAAAGATCTGTGTGATATTCATGTAGACAGGACGTAAATCCAGTTCTCGTGTGTTTGATGTCATAGGAGCTACTGAGGCAGTGTAGCTGTGTACCCAGATTCCTCATACCCAGCTAGCTCATTTGTCTGATTTCATTACACACAGATAACTTTTGAAGTGATTAGAAACTGTTTCTCTGTGAAAGATGACCTTTAATAGAAATCCAACTGCTAGTGTTAGTGATAACATAATTACATGCTTATATCAAAATATTACATTGTACGCCATAAAAATATACACTGGTAATTAGTCAAATAAAAATGTTTTAAGAAGATCATCAAGAAGTCTAGTAATGTGCCCCAAAGTAGGATTTGGGAACGCATTTTAATTGTAGTAAGATGAACTTTGTGGTGGTTCTGATCAGTGAAAAGAATGTGTTTTTCAGCTCTTATCTAGGAAACAGGAAAAAGTGATTTCTTAGACTGTTTTCAGTAAGTGTTCAATCAATGGAAAATCTGTTTCTCAAATGGGAACTGAAATTCTATTGACATTTAGAAAGTAATTGAAGCATGAAGGTTCACAGGAAGATAAAAGAGTAAATGTCAGAACTGATTCATGAAAAAACTAGGGGCTTATACACACAATTATTTTTGCTTTTTTTTAAAAAAAATTGAGATATAATTTGTATACTATAAAATTCTTCCTTTCAGAGTGTACAACTTCATGATTTTTAGTATAATTGCAAAGTTGTAAAGCCATCGCCACTATTTAATTCCAGAACATTTCATCACCCCCTAAAAAATATCTCGTGTACAGTAAGTAGCAATCACCACTTCTTTTACCTCTGGAAACCTCTTATCTATCTCTATGGATTTGCCTTATTCTGACTGATTCAGTTTTTAAGTAGACAACTTGGATTGTAAGGGGATAATAATAAAAACAGGGAATTAAGATAGGATAATGGTGCAGGCAGTGTACAGATTTGTGTGGTCTTAATAGTTTGCAAACAGTCCATCAGTGAGACGTATATTGGTAAATATACAGTAAAGAATTGAACTACCATTTAAAAATTTTTTTAGTATTGTATTTTGGGAATATGCTTTTAAGTTGATTGGCTCATTAATATACTAGATTAGTGGTTAAAAAATAGTTTGCTAATGATAATGATGACTCAAATGATGGTTCCTTCATGCTTGAAATCAAAGATTGAGCAAAGATAATATAAAATATATAAATATGTTTTTCTGCTATTAGACCAAATGCAGCAACTTAGTTTCTGCAGTTTAGCATTATTCCTGTCATAGATGGTTATTAAAATTGTACTTTTTTTTACTTTTGGATTTGATTTACACATTTATCAAGTTTTATAGTTATATTAGGGATAAAAGCATAAGGAATTTATATCTAATTTGTATTTGCACATATTTAAGTGACATTTTAATAAAATACTTTAAGTCAATCTCCAGGAAATGAAAGTTTTTTTTCCTTTGAAAAGGGTATATTGAGTTTTGCAAGCACTTTCAGACATCCACAGATCCTGCTGTTTGCAAGCTTAAGGTCAAGGGTGTATCTGCTCTGTGTCACCACTTTTGTAGTCTCAACCCTGGTGTAGAATGTATTTTGTTTCCTATAATAACTACTTTGCATGAGGATTTCAAATTTGATGTCAACTAATGTTATAAGAAGTACAGCATTTCTGGCTAAATAGTGAACATTATTGGGTGCCATGAAATCTGAAGTGGTCATTACTTACTGGAAAGCTCTAAGGAAGGAGGCAGAGAATGACTTCAAGAGAATTCTTTTCTACTGATAGTAAAGTGAAGTGCATTATGAATGTTGTTTGGTAAGTGGGTGATGAAGATTTTGAGCATATGGTTGAGGTTATGAGGGAGAGCTCCTTGAAGGTCAAAAGGACCTAGAAAGGTCCGTGAAAGAACGATGGCGAAGACGATGTTGATGCCTGGGAACAGCTAGTTGACATCATGGTCCTTTATGCGAGGAGTGAGTCATCACCTTTCCCACTTTGAATCGGGTCTTTAAGACCACCTGTATAGTAGACGCAGACACTATGCAGAAAGGCATGTGCATTTGCAAAGAAGAAATAAAAACTGGCAACCCCATTGTTCTTAAGGTGCCCATACCTAGTGAGTCCCCTCCCCTGCTGCTCTTCCGCGTTCTGTTCTGTAACTGTTTCTGCCCCGTCTGTCCCCTATTTCTTCTGCCAAGATTGATGCCACTAACCTGTCAGATGCCAGATTCTGAACTACTGCCCCGACTTGCTCTCTGGGTGTCGTCATCTGCATTCACGTCGTACATGTGCTGTCCTGCCGCGGTCACCACCACTTCGTTGTCATGGCTTATTTCCTGGTTCATGTGCCCAGAGGACTGATGGCAATCTGCAGTGTGTCTTTTAAATGTAGTTTATTTGAACCCTTTTGTAAACCTTCAGTCCTGTACTTACAAACTGAACAGAGCTCTCAGGATGTTATTAAAATTTTGTAGGGGTACTTCGTTTTATAGGGGAAAGTATATGCTGTCGTGGACTTTGTACTTAGGGAATTTGTAAAAACCTACAGGTGAATTAGCCCCTCTTGAATGCCAAGGGGCATTCTAGAGTGTATTTCTGTCTTATCTACTCTTGTGGTATTCTGTAGGATGGAATCTTTTTGTATTTTGGTTGTTTAAATGTTTGATATTCTTCATTAACACATGCTCGTATTATTTGTGGACGTGGCAAAATTAAAATACTTTTAAAAAGTATAGGTAGATTGTTTATGGATAGTTGGTGTATGTGGAAAAAATGATATGATATGTAGTGAAAACCCTAAGATGGTTTTGTGTGGGCATGTATGAGTTTTCCTAATAGTTGAATTTCTTCTTCAGATATACTGAAGAGATGGTGCCCTGGCACCCTTGCCTGGAACTCATTAGCAACTGCGAGCAGAAGCTTTCTAGTCACACGTCAAGGCGCTTGATCACAATGGAGAAGGTGAAGAAATTTGAGGTAAATTTCCCTAGGATTTTTAGGATAAATTCTGGAAGAATCGAAAGCAGACTTTTCTAGATACTTTTCCTGTCCTGGAGTATGGAAACATTCGTCCTTGATTTTTAAAAAATTACAGATTAATTCAGGATGAAGCAGAAGTTGAAGAGGCTTGTGACATTTGGTTGGGATTGGAAGGTAGGAGATAGATATAGAAGTTGAGTAGAAGAATAGATACGGAGGTTGTCCTTAACTCTTCTGGCTTTGTCTGGCATCCTGTTGCTAATTCAGTTTTAAAACAGCACTCTTAGTTAAACATCTGTTGTCTAATTGGCAGTCCACTAGTTATCACTTTTCTCCAAAAGCAAAACCCACTTGATTGCAGGGTATAATAAAGAGAATATGTTGCTTTATATAAGGGAGAAAGTAAATTTCCCTTTTCTGTTGGGGCCCAACATGTTCCCTGCCTCTCTTTTTCTCTTTCATGCACATACTCATTTCCCCCCCGCCCCCCATCCCCACACAGAGTTCATTTACGCTTGAGAAGAAAGAGCAAAACATATGTTATTTCCTATCCAGATAAGAGTTGATATGGATAGTGCCTCATAACGGAGTTTAGTTAAATCTGCAAGATACTCTTTGGGCTCTTTGGTAATTCTCTGGATTGACAAAGTTCTCCCAGGTTAACTGAAAACTTAGAGAAACCCGGTCTTGCTTTAGATTCTTAGGGCAAGCAGAAGAAAGGTGGTGGTGTCTGAAGATTTTGTCATACTCATCTCTAGTCTGCATTTAGTTGGTATTCATCAAATTCACATCCTTTTTTTTCAACTTTAAAATTTTTTTATTTTAAAATTGTGGGGTACATTTCAGGGTTAGGTCTACAGATATTCATGGTGCAGGTCCCCTTGTTGATGTGTACCTCCCATTCCCCACTCAGATTTCGACTATTGTCAATCCCACCTCCCCGCCCCACATTTCCTGCTACTGTCAGTCCTTTTCTTATAGTATTACGGAAGTTGTTCAAGGTCCACTTATGAGTGAGAACATGCAATACACGGTTCTTTGTTTCTGTGAAAGATCACTCAGTATTATAGATTCTAATTCCATCTAGGTTGCGGCGAAGTTCATGATTTTGTTCTTCTTTATGGCTACGTAATATTCCATTGTGTATATGTACCACATTTTTTTTAATCCAGTCCTCTTTTGATGAGCAGCATGGTTGGTTCCATGTTCTTGCTATTGTGAATAATGCTGCGATGAACATATGTGTGCAGGTATCTTTTTTATAGAGTGATTTGAGTTCTTCGGGTATATTCCCAGTAGGAAGATTGCGGGGTCATATGGAAGGTCAATTTTTAGAACTTTTAGGAATCGCCACAGTGTTTTCCACAGAGACTGTACTAGTTTACACTCCCACCATCAGTGTAGAGGTGTTCCCTTTTCACCACATCCTCTCCAGCATTTGTTATTTTTTGAGTTTTTGATGATGGCCATTCTGACTGGAGTCAGGTGGTATCTCAGCATAGTTTTAATTTGTATCTCCTTGATGACCAGTGAGGCTCAAATTCACATCTTATGGATTCTTTCACAGTAATGAAAACTAACATTTGAGCAGTGTCTTTTGCATATATCATTACATATCATTCTTGTTTTTGTCCTTTATATTTCCATTTGCTGTCTATCTCTAAATTGTTCCTTCTTTTCCTCCTATTACCATATACCTGGTTTTTGCTGAACAGTTTCCTAAATGTCTTTCTTCTTTCCACCTCTAGTTCTTATCTGTTAAGTGAAGCTTCCTGAAACCCAGCATTTATTTTGCCACTTCCTTATGCAAAATGTTTTGGTGATTCATCTTTGCTACTGAGTAATGTTCAGAATTTTCAGTAATGTCCTCGGTAATCAGGCTTCAATATCAGGGCATTTTAGAAAACTAACTTATACATGTATATAAAGTAGTCGATTGGTATGTGTATACATACGTACACACATAAATATATAAGTATATGTAATGTAATTAAAATGAGTGTATGTGTGATAGTCATCTTTAAAACAAAAATACTAGAAGTTTATATTTAAATATTATTCTTGGAGTGGCATCTTTGTCAAGCATTTAAAACATTGAGGACTCAGAAATTCACGAGTTGTTTTCCAGTCGTTTGACACCATAACAACCTTCCAAAGCAACAGTTTTGAATGGCCAACCTTAGTTTGGATATACAATAGAAGCCCTCTTGTCTAACGTTCATTTCAAACTCTGACGTCCATTTCAAACAACCAGTATTAGGCATTCCTGCTCTTAAACACTGGGCCTGATGCTTCTGTTATGTTGAATGCTTTCTGCTGGTTAATTGCTTGGTCTCACTGGGTCTCTTTGCAGCACTTCTGCATCTACCAGCTGAATTGTTTGTTTACCAAGAGTTATGGTGTTCTCAGAGCAATTTATGCTAGTTATAGTTGTTGTAATTATATAATCTAACCAAATACTAGTTAGACCAGTGAAAAATGACCAGTTATCATTTCTGTGAAAACTAAGTTGATGCTTTATAATAAAGTGAGTTGCTAAAAAATCTTAAGTTGAAATGAGTTGGAAAAAAGTTATTGCCACTTGCACCCAGATTGCTTTATAAGTTCTTGCATCAGTTTATAGGAGTTCAACCTGGAAATCTTTATATGTCTTGATTCTGTATTAAAGATTGACAAATGGATATATTGGTTTTTAAGCTTAAAATAAGTTTGATCTGTTTTAGACCGTTTTAATTTTTCATTGACCTTTTAAAAGTAACTGTGTTAATCTGTTTGGGCTGCCATAACGGCATCACAGACGGGAGCTTAAATAACAGGAATTGACTTTCTCCAAGTCTGGAGGTCGGAAGCTCAAGATCAGGTGTCAGCAGGGCTGGCTTCTTGCTGACTTCGGGCAGGCGCGTCCTCGCCGTCCCCTGTGCACACGGCCCTGGCCCTGTGCCCCTGCGCTTCCGATGCCCGTCGCGAAGACGCCTGTGCTGCTGGTTTAGGGCCCTGCCCCTGGGAACTCATTTCCCGTAATTGCCTTCTTTTTTTAATTCTAAATTTTAAATATGTGGGGCACAATTTGGGGTGAGGTGTGCAAATGTTCCTTATGCAGGTGCCCTTGTGGATGAGGTGGGCCCCCCGCCACAGCAGTTTCCCACTCCTGCCGATCCTGCCCTGTCCTCCCCTGGCAGCTTCCCACTACTGCCAGTCCCTTTCTTAGAGTATTACAATGGTTGTTCAAGGTCTGCTTTTGAGTGAGAATATATGATGCTCGGTTCTTTGTTTCTGTGATAGATCACTCAGTATTCTAGCCTCTAAGTCCATCAAGTTGCTGCGAAGTTCATAATTTTGACCTTCTTTATGGCTGTGTAATATTCCATTGTGTATATGTACCACTGTTTTTTTTTTTATCTAGTCCTCTTTTGATGGGCAGCACGAATGTTTCCATACTTTTGCTATTGTGAATAATGCTGCAATAAACATGTGTGTGCAGTTATCTTCTTCTTAGTTACCTTCTTAGTGGCCCTGTCTCCAAATATAGTCACATTGGGGGTTAGGGCTTCAACATATAAATTTTAGGGCAGGACACAATTAGTTAATAACGCTAACCATTGATATTTATTACATTGCCTAAGAAGCCTTTGTATTTGTAGTATGTTAGAGTATGCTTTTCTTTTCTTTTCTTTTTTTTTTTTTGCTCCTCTCCTGGTCACTTCTAATCTGTACATTTGATAATTTGAATATCAGTATTGTAGCTCTTAGGAATCATAGCATTAGTAGAATCATTAATGTTAGTAATAATAATAGTAACTAATGTTTATGTGCCAGGCACATGAATAATGCATGTAAAAAACAGAAATAATACTTGCAGATTTTGTAGTTTTTGTGCTGATGTTAGAAAGCAAAGTAAATGGCATCAGTATTCTTTATTGTGTGGCCCACATAAATAGTATTCTAAAGAATTGAAAGGTGGAGGATGTGGAGAAAAGACTGATAATTAATGGCACATAATGTATCTACTATTCTATTTTACTGGAAAAATTTTAAAAATTAAAATTTTTAATTTTTGTGGACTACTTTCATACTCGCCTTCTCTTGAGTTTTTTGTTTAAGAAGGTCTAGTATTTTTTTCCAGATTTATAAAATTTCTCTAAGCAAATTTATTTGTGACTCAAAGAAAAATAGTGTTTTCTAGAATTTATCCTATGTTAAAATGATAAGTCTGGTTTCTTTTTATCGTTTTAGTTTTGTTCTTTTCAAATTGATTTTAAAAAACAAAACAGGGAAAAGCCTAATGCTCAAGTAATTTTTTGAAATGGTCTCTATAAAAGTAAGTTTAATTACCGAGTTTTAACTACTATGACATTTACCATAACCGAAAATACTTTGTCATGTTAAATTAATCATGTCTGGTTTTTAATTAATTACTTCATTTTTACCTTTTGTTTGTATGGAGAGGATGTATATAATTGCAGCAAGATCCCAATCCTTTATAATGCAAGTGATGACATAAAATTGTCAAACATTTCTTACACGCGTCTAACAAATTATACTGGGGTTTGTTCAGCATGGTTGATTTTGGCAATGGAAGACTATTAATTTTAGATTTTTTACCCTTTTGTATACTGTGTCTCTTCATTTTTGATTTGTCACTTGTTAGGTTTAACTTTAGTGTAACTTTTGGCCCTCTTGATATGTTGCTATAAAAGTATTCTCCCTCTCCCTCCTTTTAAAATGTAAACATAAGTTATAACAAAAGTTGTCTAAATAATATGGATCGTTTGTAAGATTTTATATCCTTACATTATTGGCCATAGTTTTTGTTAGACTTGCTTATTGTGCGTTAGTAGTAAAGAAGAAAATTTCTTTACTATTAAGTTAGATTTTTAACTTTGTTACAATTATGGAGATGGTGAATAAGAAGCTCCAGACTTTTACATTATTCTTTGTTGATATATTCTGAAGGCTAAGTGAATGGTAAGTAACATTTTTATAATACTTTATTGCTT